CCGTTCAGCTTGGGCTCTAAGATCTAGTGGCAACCCAAGTTCCAGCTTGAATACTTCCTGGAAGTTTTTGTTAAGTTCCTTGCAAACCTCTTATCATTTTCCGTGAGTCCTCCCTCAGTTTTGTCAAGTCTGACAACTTGATCATTTATAGTCATCTTGCAGACGACGAGTCACAATAACGAGGTTGAAGATATGATGACTGACCCACACGTCAGAAGATGGAGAGACGACGACGACGATACGGTCCGTGCTGGACCATTATCATGTGGTATATTCACACGACCTGATAACGGTCATCATACAGTCATCTTCCTCCAGGAACTTAGCCATTCAAGCAATATAATGATCGTACTGCCTCTACTTCCTCTCCTAGTTTATGTGTACTCATTTCTGGTCTCTTTATATGATATTGATTTCCTTGTGTCGTGTGTTCTCTATATATCTTCCACGCTCCTCTGCTGTTCATCTTTGCTTCCAGTGTGTTGAACCATGGGATAATGCTCGTCTTGCTTCTCTTAAACCTTACTGGAGGTACAGACATATACATTTGTCTTCAGCTGACTTGTGTTTGGTCGTTACGTGATCCACCACCACATCTTGTGCTGACTGTCCCCTCACTTCTCTTCCCCATTGTATCCGGGCCAGGAATGCTCAGACCTTGTGGTACTCCCGTCCTCCTCCTGTATGCTGCCTTACATCTTGTTACATGTTCCTATGGTCTACACTGTCACTATGTCCTCAGAGACTACAACACAGTGTAGTGCAGCAGGAGCCTCAGCCTCCGCCCTCTGGGTTATAAACACACTAAACCTCCTCCTGTATAACACGTGTAGATGTAGACCAGACCACACACTAGAAGGTGAAGGGACGACGACGTTTCGGTCCGTCCTGGACCATTCTCAAGTCGAATGTCAGAATCGACTTGAGAATGGTCCAGGACGGACCGAAACGTCGTCGTCCCTTTACACTTTCTAGTGTGTGGGTTTGGTCAACATATTTCAGCCACGTTCTTGTAACTCCTCGTGTGCCCATGGTGATGTACACACTCACTGCTACAAGACTACCAGACGCCTTAACACTCTAACACCACAGTGTCGCTCCTCTCATTATTCTCACCACCACAACAACAACATCAACAACAACAACAACATCAACAACAACAACAACAACAACAACAACATCAACAACAACAACAACAACAACAACATCAAAAGGCAACAGCAAACATAACCTAAATATGCAATAGCAATAGAAATGTCCTGGTGTGTCCTGGTGTGTCCTGGACACACCAGGACACACCAGGACACACTAGGACACACCAGGACACACTAGGATACACTAGGACACATCAGGACACACTAGGACACACTAGGACACACCAGGATACACCAGGACACACCAGGACACACTAGGACACAATAGGACACACCAGGACACACTAGGATACACTAGGACACATCAGGACACACCAGGACGCACTAGGACACACCAGGACGCACTAGGACACACTAGGACACACCAGGACGCACTAGGACACACCAGGACACACTAGGACACACCAGGACGCACTAGGACACACCAGGACTCACTAGGACACACCAGGACACACTAGGACACACCAGGACACACCAGGATACACTAGGACACACCAGGACACACCAGGACACACCAGGACACACTAGGACACACTAGGACACACCAGGACACACCAGGACACACCAGGACACACTAGGACACACTAGGACACACCAGGACACACTAGGATACACTAGGACACATCAGGACACACCAGGACGCACTAGGACACACCAGGACGCACTAGGACACACTAGGACACACCAGGACGCACTAGGACACACCAGGACACACTAGGACACACCAGGACGCACTAGGACACACCAGGACTCACTAGGACACACCAGGACACACTAGGACACACCAGGACACACCAGGATACACTAGGACACACCAGGACACACCAGGACGCACTAGGACACACCAGGACACACCAGGACACATCAGGACGCACTAGGACACACCAGGACTCACTAGGACACACCAGGACACACTAGGACACACCAGGACACACCAGGATACACTAGGACACACCAGGACACACCAGGACGCACTAGGACACACCAGGACACACAAGGACACACCACGACGCACTAGGACACACTAGGACACACCAGGACGCACTAGGACACACCAGGACACACCAGGACGCACTAGGACACACTAGAACACACCAGGACGCACTAGGACACACCAGGACGCACTAGGACACACCAAGACTCACTAGGATACACCAGCACACACCAGGACACACCAGGACACACTAGGACACACCAGGACTCACTAGGACACACCAGGACACACTAGGACACACCAGGACACACCAGGACGCACTAGGACACACCAGGACACACCAGGACGCACTAGGACACACTAGGACACACCAGGACGCACTAGGACACACCAGGACACACTACGACACACCAGGACGCACTAGGACACACCAGGACACACCAGGACACACCAGGACACACTAGGACACACCAGGACGCACTAGGACACACTAGAACACACCAGGACACACTAGGACACACCAGGACACACCAGGATACACTAGGACACATCAGGACACACCAGGACGCACTAGGACACACCAGGACACACCAGGACGCACTGGGACACACTAGGACACACCAGGACGCACTAGGACACACCAGGACACACTAGGACACACCAGGACGCACTAGGACACACCAGGACTCATTAGGATACACCAGGACACACCAGGACACACCAGGACGCACTAGGACACACTAGGACACACCAGGACGCACTAGGACACACCAGGACACACTAGGACACACCAGGACACACCAGGACACACTAGGACACACCAGGACGCACTAGGACACACCAGGACACACTAGGACACACCAGGATGCACTAGGACACACCAGGACACACCAGGACGCACTAGGACACACCAGGACACAATAGGACTCACTAGGACACACTAGGACTCACTAGGACACACCAGGACGCACTAGGACACACCAGGACGCACTAGGACACACCAGGACACACTAGGACACACCAGGACGCACCAGGACACACCAGGACACACTAGGATACACCAGGACACACCAGGACACACCAGGACTCACTAGGACACACCAGGACACACCAGGACTCACTATGACACACCAGGACGCACTAGGACACACCAGGACACACTAGGATACACCAGGACACACCAGGACACACCAGGACACACTAGGACACACCAGGACACACCAGGACACACCAGGACTCACTAGGATACACCAGGACACACCAGGACTCACTAGGACACACCAGGACACACCAGGACTCACTAGGATACACCAGGACACACCAGGACACACCAGGACACACTAGGACACACCAGGACACACCAGGACGCACTATGACACACCAGGACGCACTATGACACACCAGGACGCACTAGGACGCACTATGACACACCAGGACGCACTAGGACACACCAGGACGCACTATGACACACCAGGACGCACTATGACACACCAGGACGCACTAGGACACACCAGGACGCATTATGACACACCAGGACGCACTATGACACACCAGGACGCACTAGGACACACCAGGACACACCAGGACGCACTATGACACACCAGGACGCACTATGACACACCAGGACGCACTATGACACACCAGGACGCACTATGACACACCAGGACGCACTATGACACACCAGGACACACCAGGACGCACTATGACACACCAGGACGCACTATGACACACCAGGACGCACTAGGACACACCAGGACACACCAGGACGCACTATGACACACCAGGACGCACTATGACACACCAGGACGCACTATGACACACCAGGACGCACTATGACACACCAGGACGCACTATGACACACCAGGACGCACTATGACACACCAGGACACACCAGGACGCACTATGACACACCAGGACGCACTATGACACACCAGGACGCACTAGGACGCACTATGACACACCAGGACGCACTAGGACACACCAGGACGCACTATGACACACCAGGACGCACTATGACACACCAGGACGCACTAGGACACACCAGGACGCATTATGACACACCAGGACGCACTATGACACACCAGGACGCACTAGGACACACCAGGACACACCAGGACGCACTATGACACACCAGGACGCACTATGACACACCAGGACGCACTATGACACACCAGGACGCACTATGACACACCAGGACGCACTATGACACACCAGGACACACCAGGACGCACTATGACACACCAGGACGCACTATGACACACCAGGACGCACTAGGACACACCAGGACACACCAGGACGCACTATGACACACCAGGACGCACTATGACACACCAGGACGCACTATGACACACCAGGACGCACTATGACACACCAGGACGCACTATGACACACCAGGACACACCAGGACGCACTATGACACACCAGGACGCACTATGACACACCAGGACGCACTAGGACACACCAGGACACACCAGGACGCACTATGACACACCAGGACGCACTATGACACACCAGGACGCACTATGACACACCAGGACGCACTAGGACACACCTGGACGCACTATGACACACCAGGACGCACTATGACAAACCAGGACGCACTAGGACAAATAAACCCTGGTGATGGAGAGAGGGAGAGTGGAGATGGGGACGGGATGGGTGTGGGGGGGGAGTAAAGGGAGGGATGAAGAAGGGTGAGAAGGAGAGGGATGAGGGGGAGAGATGGAAGAAAAGGGAGGTGGATGTAGGAGGGGAACAGGATGATGATGATGATGATGATGATGGAGGGATGGATGAGAGGTGGAGGATAAGGGTGGAGGGATGGATGAGAGGTGGAGGGATGGATGAGAGGTGGAGGAAGAGAGGGGGAGGGTAGGGGAGGGATGTTAGGAGGGTGGCAAGGGCCTCACAAGCTCAGTCTTGCTCTACACGCGGAGGTGGACGGACGTGCGCACTCATCGCCTCCTGCATTAGGTTGCATTCCTCCTTCCACCGAGCACAAATTTCTTTGACAGAGGTACGTTTCAAGTTAAATATTTTAATATGTTACATTTTTGGTGCTGTGGAGCTTCGAAGCTCACCCAGTGATGCAGAACAGCAGTATATCAATGCAGCCTTATTCCTTATACATTAAACGCATGATAATAGATGTATAAATATTGGATATACATAGCGGGATTCGAAGCGAGGTTGACAGCCCAATCCTGCAGGTCCCAGTGCAACAATGTCATGCAGGGTTGTAACGATTCATTGGTTGCATTCGTGCACTAAATGGGTCACCACTGGTCAACACCACTGGTCAACACCACTGGTCAACACCACTGGTCAACACCACTGGTCAACACCACTGGTCAATACCACTGGTCAGCACCACTGGTCAACACCACTGGTCAACACCACTGGTCAACACCACTGGTCAATACCACTGGTCAACACCACTGGTCAACACCACTGGTCAATACCACTGGTCAACACCACTGGTCAATACCACTGGTCAACACCACTGGTCAATACCACTGGTCAACACCACTGGTCAATACCACTGGTCAGCACCACTGGTCAACACCACTGGTCAATACCACTGGTCAACACCACTGGTCAACACCACTGGTCAACACCACTGGTCAATACCACTGGTCAACACCACTGGTCAACACCACTGGTCAATACCACTGGTCAACATCACTGGTCAACACCACTGGTCAACACCACTGGTCAATACCACTGGTCAACACCACTGGTCAATATCACTGGTCAATACCACTGGTCAACACCACTGGTCAACACCACTGGTCAATACCACTGGTCAACACCACTGGTCAACACCACTGGTCAACACCACTGGTCAAAACCACTGGTCAACACCACTGGTCAACACCACTGGTCAACACCACTGGTCAACATCACTGGTCAACACCACTGGTCAACACCACTGGTCAATACCACTGGTCAATACCACTGGTCAACACCACTGGTCATCACTGATCATCACCACTGGTCAACACCACTGGTCAACACCACTGGTCATCACTGATCATCACCACTGGTCAACACCACTGGTCAACACCACTGGTCATCACTGATCATCACCACTGGTCAACACCACTGGTCATCACTGATCATCACCACTGGTCAACACCACTGGTCAACACCACTAGTCATCACTGATCATCACCACTGGTCAACACCACTGGTCAACACCACTGGTCAACACCACTGGTCATCACTGATCATCACCACTGGTCAACACCACTGGTCATCACTGATCATCACCACTGGTCAACACCACTGGTCATCACTGATCATCACCATTGGTCAACACCACTGGTCAACACCACTGGTCATCACTGATCATCACCACTGGTCAACACCACTGGTCAACACCACTGGTCAACACCACTGGTCAATACCACTGGTCAACACCACTGGTCATCACTGATCATCACCACTGGTCAACACCACTGGTCAACACCACTGGTCATCACTGATCATCACCACTGGTCAACACCACTGGTCATCACTGATCACCACTGGTCAACACCACTGGTCAACACCACTGGTCATCACTGATCATCACCACTGGTCAACACCACTGGTCATCACTGATCATCACCACTGGTCAACACCACTGGTCATCACTGATCATCACCACTGGTCATCACTGATCATCATCACTGATCATCACCACTGGTCATCACTGATCATCATCACTGATCATCATCACTGATCATCACCACTGGTCATCACTGATCATCACCACTGGTCAACACCACTGGTCATCACTGATCATCACCACTGGTCAACACCACTGGTCAACACCACTGGTCATCACTGATCATCACCACTGGTCAACACCACTGGTCAACACCACTGGTCATCACTGATCATCACCACTGGTCAACACCACTGGTCAACACCACTGGTCATCACTGATCATCACCACTGGTCAACACCACTGGTCAACACCACTGGTCATCACTGATCATCACCACTGGTCAACACCACTGGTCAACACCACTGGTCATCACTGATCATTACCACTGGTCAACACCACTGGTCATCACTGATCATCACCACTGGTCAACACCACTGGTCATCACTGATCATCACCACTGGTCATCACTGATCATCATCACTGATCATCACCACTGGTCATCACTGATCATCACCACTGGTCATCACTGATCATCACCACTGGTCAACACCACTGGTCATCACTGATCATCACCACTGGTCATCACTGATCATCATCACTGATCATCACCACTGGTCATCACTGATCATCATCACTGATCATCATCACTGATCATCACCACTGGTCATCACTGATCATCACCACTGGTCAACACCACTGGTCATCACTGATCATCACCACTGGTCAACACCACTGGTCAACACCACTGGTCAACACCACTGGTCATCACTGATCATTACCACTGGTCAACACCACTGGTCATCACTGATCATCACCACTGGTCAACACCACTGGTCATCACTGATCATCACCACTGGTCATCACTGATCATCATCACTGATCATCACCACTGGTCATCACTGATCATCACCACTGGTCATCACTGATCATCACCACTGGTCAACACCACTGGTCACCACTACTGGGTTAGTGAAAACTTTTATGGTGTTGTAGAAGGGGCATATGCGATCAAATCAGTGACAAGGAAATCTGCGAGGCACTGAATGCCAGTTTCCATGGAGTGTTCACAACCGAGCCTGAGCAGCTCCCATTGTCAGAAGAGATTACCCTAGATGAAAGACTATCAGATATAGAGGTGACAGCAGAGGCGGTAATGAAACAGTTGACAACACTGGAGGCAACTAAAGCGATTGGACCAGACAAAGTATCACCGTGGATACTAAAAGAGGCAGTGCAGGCCCTCAGCGTGCCTCTGGCAATGATCTTTAATGAGTCATTTATGTCAGGAGAATTGCCTAGTTGCTGGAAGAAGGCAAACGTGGTACCAATTTTCAAGAAAGGGGATAGAGAGGAGGCACTTAACTACAGACCCGTATCACTGACAAGCATCCCCTGTAAAATACTTGAAAGAATAATCAGGCTAAGACTTGTTGGACACCTGGAGAACATTAGGTTTGTAAACAAACATCAACATGGGTTCAGAGAAGGAAAATCATGCCAAACAAGCTTCCTGGAATTCTATGATAAAATATCAAGAATAAGGTAGGAGAGGGAAGGATGGGCGCACTGCAAATTTCTGGACTGTCAAAAAGCCTTTGATACAGTACCGCAAATGAGGCTGCTATTCAAACTCGAGAGGCAGGCGGGAGTAAGCGGAAAGACCCTAGCATGAGTAAGGAACTACCTAACAGGAAGGAGCCAGAGAGTAATGGTAAGGGGCGAAAAGTCTGATTGGCGAACAGTAACGAGTGGAGTATCTCAAGGATCGGGGCTGGGACCAGTTCTATTTTTTTTTGAGATATATACAAGAGTTGTTACATTCTTGTACAGCCACTAGTACGCGTAGCGTTTCGGGCAGGTCCCTGGAATACGATCCCCTGCCGCGAAGAATCGTTTTTTCATCCAAGTACACATTTTACTGTTGCGTTAAACAGAGGCTACAGTTAAGGAATTGCGCCCAGTAAATCCTCCCCGGCCAGGATACGAACCCATGACATAGCGCTCGCGGAACGCCAGGCGAGTGTCTTACCACTACACCACGGAGACTGTTTTTCTAATATACGTTAACGATATGTTTACAGGAGTAGAGTCCTACATGTCGATGTTCGCGGAAGACGCAAAGTTGATGAGAAGAGTTGTGACAGATGAGGATTGTAGGATCCTCCAAGAGGACCTGAACAGGTTGCACAGATGGTCAGAGAAATGGCTACTGGAGTTCAACACGAGCAAATATAAAGTTATGGAAATGGGACTAGGTGATAGGAGACCAAAGGGACAGTACACAATGAAGGGGACCTGCCTACCTGTGACGACTCGAGAAAGAGACCTGGGAGTGGATGTGACACCCAATCTAACTCCTGAGGCACATATAAATAGGATAACGACAGCAGCGTACTCTACACTGGCGAAAGTGAGAACTTCATTCAGAAACCAAAGTAAGGAGGCATTTAGGGCGCTTTACACTGCCTACGTGAGGCCAGTCTTAGAGTATGCCGCCTCATCATGGAGTCCCCACCTGAAGAAACACATAAGGAAACTGGAAAAAGTTCAGAAGTTTGCAATGAGACTCATCTCAGCGTTACGAGGGATGGGCATGAGGAGCGCCTGAAGGAACTGAACCTGGCGACACTAGAAAAAAAGGGATAAGGAATATATAATAAGAACTTATAAAATACTCAGGCAGATTGGCAGAGTGGACATAGATGAAATGTTCACACGTAATAATAACAGAACGAGGGGACATGGGGTGGAAGCTGGAAACTCAGATGAGTCACATAGATGATAGGAAGTTTTCTTTTAGCGTGAGAGTAGTGGGAAAATGGAATGCACTTAAGGAACAGGTTGTGGAAGCAAACTCTATACATAATTTTAAAACTAGATATGATAGGGAAATGGGACCGGAGTCATTGCTGTAAACAACCGATGGCCAAAAAGGCCGAAATAGAGAGGCTTATATCAATCCTGCAGGCACAGATAGGCGAGTACACACACACACAAGGACAAAAGACACGATGAAACAACACGATATAGTCCAAATGACCATTACCGAGGGGGACGTACACTCCATACACCACGGACACATACACCAAGAGTTGTGTCACGCTTCTCAAGAGTGTATACACCAAGCTTACTTTCCTCTCAACTATATTGAGTACAAAGTATATTTGGTGGTTGGTCAGTGAGGCCTAAGAGTGGGCTTAACAACCCTCCAGGCTGCCAGGCACTCATCTCAACACTCATCTGAGTCAAGTAACTCATCGCCGGGTGAGGTGTGCTGGCGCTCTTCACCTCACAAGAGCTCTCCCTCCCTCTATTATATCCCTGGATGGTTGACTTACGCCACCTTCTCTTTAACCTTACAG